AGCTTTAAGGTCCCTTCAACCCAAACCAGTGCCACGGTGACCCTGCTGTTCCCCAGGTGTCTCCAAGCTCTCTCCTGTTCCCTACCACCTGCAAGGTGCTGGAACAAAGGTGTTGAGCTCCATGTTTTCCCTTTCCAGCAACTGGTGTCTGTGGAGAAGCTGCCCAAGTACGCCCAGGCTGGCTTCGAGGGCTTTAAAACCCTCAACCGGATTCAGAGCAAACTCTACCGCGCCGCGCTGGAGTCGGATGAGAACCTGCTGCTGTGCGCTCCCACGGTACGGATCCGGCACGATGGTATCCCAGAGGATGAGCCATTTGGGTGGCAAATGCCTCCTGTGTGGGTCGTCCTTCACCTGGGAACAAGGAGGGTTTGATGGGTCTGGCTCTGGTTGTGTTCCAGGGGGCTGGAAAGACGAACGTGGCGCTGATGTGCATGCTGCGGGAGATCGGGAAGCACATCAACATCGACGGCACCATCAACGTGGATGACTTCAAGATCATCTACATTGCACCCATGAGGTCCTTGGTGCAGGAGATGGTGGGCAGCTTTGGGAAGGTAAGGAGAGGGTTGGTCCTGCCCTGCTTGAGCTGGAGACTGGGGAGGATGAGCTCAATTGTGGTGGCTTCTCATCTTGTGCTTCCAGAAGGAGCTAAGATCTGGCAGGAGCTTGTTGGGAGAAGATGAGTTTGGGCTGGGTTTAGTCTCTGGTGCAGCCTGTGCTCCCCAGGCTCTGTGTGGTTGTCCATATGGGCTCCCCATGGAATGAGGGTGAAGCTGTTTGGGAGCATCCCGGGACTCCGCCACCGCAGGGAACATGTGTTGATCCAACATAACATCCTCTGGGCTTCCTCCTAGCGCCTGGCGACCTACGGCATCAACGTGGCCGAGCTGACGGGGGACCACCAGCTGTGCAAGGAGGAGATCAGCGCCACCCAGATCATCGTCTGCACCCCGGAGAAGTGGGACATCATCACCCGCAAGGGGGGCGAGCGCACCTACACCCAGCTTGTGCGACTGGTCATACTGGTGAGTGGCGCCGGCACGGCGCTGGCACACAGAGGGGGTGAGGATGGGCAGTGGGGAGGGTGTTACAGTTCCCAGCCTTGCTTTAGAGGTTAGAGATGTCCCTTGGTTGGGGAGAGATTTGGGTGTTGAAGCACAGAATCATTGAATTGATCAGCTTGGAAAAGACCTTCAAGATCATCAAGTCCAACCTTCACCCCAGCACTGCCAAGGCCACCACTAAACCTTATTGCTCTCTATAACTACCTCAGAGGAGGTTGTGTTGAGGTGGGGTTGGGCTTGTCTCCCAAAGGACAAGGGATGAGACCAGAGGAAACGGCCTCAAGCTGCCCACGGGCAGGGTTACGT